GTACATGTGCTTCATTTTTGGATTATTTGTGAGCATTTTGGTTTGTGCATAAGATTCTAACTCACACATACACATGGAGAGCATGTCAGGATAATCATAGTGTGATTCATTGTTGAGAGACACCCTTGGTGACTTTCGCATTGAAGCTTAATTTGGATAGCCAAAGTGAATATGAACTCCATTGTGTAAATGCTTAAATTACATGTTCATTTCACACACACACACGAGTTTGAAAATGAATGTGTATGTGCATACTCTGGAATAATATTTAAAGCCATGGTGATGATCATGTGTGTTTAGTTCGAGTATTTGAACAATGGTGTCATATAGCCCTAGGCTTGTGGGATGAGGGAATTTTGCTCAACTTTCAAAATTTGATCAGATTTAGGAATGCCCTTGTGATTTGAGTCTATGGTTTACATTTTGGGTATTCATTTTGGTAGTTAAAATTAGAAATCCATGTCTTGTATTTTGAAAACATCAAAATTTTAAATCATGTTCCAATTTCGGAAATGACTTTGGGCATGATCTCTCAATTGTGGTTCACATGTGTGGTTCAATTTTTTGGTAGATTAGATGTCATGGATAGGGTGTTTGAATGTTTAGGGGTTGAATAAAGTTGGTTTGGATGTGAGTTTTGGAACTAAGGAATGGTTTTGCAATAAGGACCCTTTTGGAAGGTTTAGTGAAAACCTTCCGGAAGGTTTTTTCCAGTGTGCAAAACCTTCCAGAAGATTTTCATCGACCTTTCAAAAGGTTTTTACTAATGGACAATTTTGCCTCAGAAGTAAGTAAAACCTTCTGAAAGTTTCTCATTGACCTTCCAGAAAGTTTTACCCAGAATACTAAAAACGAGGGTTTTAAGTTCAAAATTTTTGAAAAACCTTTCACATTTCGCCCAAATCTCAAGCTGCCAAACTCTCTCCTATCCCTCTAATGGCTTCCAAGCCTCAAAACACCTCACCCAAACTATAAATTACTACATTTCTCTTAATGAGGGTTGATTTTGAGTGGATTGTTGCCAAAAATTTTGGTGTTCTCTAAAAACCCTAGGTCTCCAAAGTTCCCCCAAATTCTCAAGTTCTTGTTGATCTTCTTCAAATATCTAACGCCCTTGCTATGGCTCGTTTGGGAAAGGCATCCCTCGACACGTTTGAGCCCATTGAATGGGTTGTAATGTGGTTTTTGACTTTCATTGGTGTTGGGGCACTGTTGGTCCTCATGGCCCGCACCAAGAGAATGTGTCCGAAGACCCCACCACCCGCGGGCACTAGCTCCAGCAAGAGGAACGTTGAGGGCCCAAGTAGTGGGGATCGGGAAGAGAGAAGGACAAAAGCGAGATATGACACACGTAGACAAAGAATCAATGAGAAAAATGTCACATGTGAGACGTATGTGGACAAGATCTCGCTTGGCCCAAAAGACGAAGTGGTGAGGGTGATCGAAGGATGTAGTTTGGGTATTTGGTTTGAGGAGGTAAGTGGCTACAACTTGGGGTTACATAGATAATTTTATAAGAAATTTTCGGTGTTGGGTAAATATGGTAATGTACTAAGGATAAATGTGCGAGGGAAGACTTTTGACGTGACTTCGAACATGATTGCTACATTGATGAGGTATTAGAGGCCTCCCCCTACTACCCCGGTCTACTCACACAATATTGAAGAGGGTAGGACACTTTCTGACTATGTGAGGCNAATTTTATAAGAAATTTTCGGTGTTGGGTAAATATGGTAATGTACTAAGGATAAATGTGCGGGGGAAGACTTTTGACGTGACTTCGAACATGATTGCTTCATTGATGAGGTATTAGAGGCCTCCCCCTACTACCCCGGTCTACTCACACAATATTGAAGAGGGTAGGACACTTTCTGACTATGTGAGGCTCACCTACGCGGATCCGACCACATTTAAAGGGACAACTCTTGTCGGGGTCTCAAGCACTCTTACGGAGTCATGTATAAGGTCCTTCACTACAACCTAATGCCTAGGGGTTCCAAGAAGAGCCCAAATATCAAGAAACTTGCCCTCCTCCATGAGTTCATGAAGGGGAAGGCGATTGATGTGGCCTTGTTAATATAGGAGGAGATGAAGGAGTTTGCTCAGGCTACAAGCCGAAGGCGNATAAGGTCCTTCACTACAACCTAATGCCTAGGGGTTCCAAGAAGAACCCAAATATCAAGAAACTTGCCCTCCTCCATGAGTTCATAAAGGGGAAGGCGATTGATGTGGCCCTGTTAATATAGGAGGAGATGAAGGAGTTTGCTCAGGCTACAAGCCGAAGGCGAATCTCCCCTTCAGCAATCTCGTCACATGGATGTGCTCTCACTGCAAAGTGAAGTCCTATGCACATGATACACTGCTACCCCCTGAGACTGGTGCCATTGGGAAGTCGAGCAGCAATAAGAAGGCAGCCAGGACAGAGGGTGAGAGAGCCAGAGCATTGGGACCGGAGACATCATCTTCTAAGCTAACCACTTTTGCACTTGCTAGCATTGTGCCTCAACGTCTGGATGCCCTATAGACCACTATGCATGGGCTTTCATTAATGGTGATGAGACTATTTTAGCACACTTTTCCGGGCAAGCCCATCCCTGACAAACCTTCACTGCCTCCAATTAGACCATTGACCTCCGCTCCTATACCTTCTACAACTGTTGAGGTGGGAGAGACGAATGACGAGGATGAGGGGAGTGAGTCCGAGAGTGATGCTAAGGATGAGGATGCTTTCGATGATGATGGGGATGAGGGTGCTGATTAGGATGTTTCCTTGTGTTTTGTTTCTTTTGATGTTAGGGTACACAACTAGGGTTAGTCTTGTCGGCCCAGTAGAAGTGTCTTCAGAATTTTGGGTTGTTTTGTTTTGAACTCTAACCATTTGTACTGAACTTTTGTGAATGATTAATGAAAAAAATACCATAGTTGTTTCATTTTATCATTGCCCAAGTCCATTTTCTTTAATTGCATTATGATTTTTACATTTTGAATGTTTGAATATTTACTTGTATGAATGGGTTGTGTTAGTATTGCATATCTTGTTGGTTGAAATGAAGTTTGCTGGGGACTAGTAAAACTCAAGTTGGGGGGGTGTGATTAGCACAAAATATTGCATAGTTTATATGCTTGTTATGCTCTTTTATACTTGATTTTGTTGTGAATTTGGGGGGCAATGTGTTTAATCTACTTTTTAATGAATTATTGTGTGAATGTAGGTGAAGAATTGCAAATGGCATGAGTTAAGCCCCCATTAAAGTGCTTAAAGACAATAGAGATGAAGTAATAGCTTTAAAGGAAGGATTGGAAGGTGAAGAAACCAAGAAAAAGGCAAACTGGATGAAAACCTTTCAGAAGGTTGGGTCACAAATCTTCTGAAAGGTCTGCACTTTGGACTGCCTTATGCCCTGCCAAAACCTTTCAGAAGGGTTTGTCTTCTAGAATAAACCTTCCGGAAGGTTTGCATCGACCTTCCAGAAGGTTTACACTTGGTCTGCCTACTCCATGCCAAAACCTTCTTGAAGATTTTGTCTACTGGAATAAACCTTCAAGAAGGTTTGCATCGACCTTCCGGAAGGTTAAGCTCACTGGACTGCTGTTTTCATTATTCCTGCATAAACCTTCCGGAAGGTTTGCATCGACCATCTGGAAGGTTTTGCCCAAAAATGCCTGACAGCCTGCAACTCAAGCTCTGCCACTTAGGGGGTCCCACATATGATTCTCCCACTTGTTCTCTAACATCTTTTACACACATACATGCCTCCCTTTGCCTAAGCTTGGACTTTGGAGGCCCAAGCATTAATGAGGAAGAGAGAGAAGAAAAAAGTCAGGGAAGTTGCTGGCTAGGCTTGTCCTAGCTTGCTCAAGCTATCACTTCAGCCACCTATGGATGGGAAGCTTGTCACACATGCTAGAAGACCCCCATGGACGAAAATGCAAGTATCACTTCACATTATTCAGCATTGTAGAGCATTATAGAGAGAGAAGCTTAAGGAGGAAGACATAGTTTTAGAGGGAGAAGTTAGATTTTTGCATTTCCTTTACCCATTTCATTTGTAATCTTCTGTAAGACCCTTGTAAGCTTTATTTATTGCCTTTAACATCATTTATTTCAAGTGTTTTGTAAGTTAAATCAAGTATCTTTCATTCTACCATTGTTGTATTGAGTTTTTCACTTCAAGCTTTTAAAATAGGTATTAAATGCACTACTTCATAGTTAACTTTTCTTGCATTAATTTAAGTTTCAATCTTCATTTCTTCACAATGTCTCTTTACTTCATGTATGTTCTTGCATTAAATATGAGTAGCTAATCTTTAAGTTAGCTAATCCAAAGGAGAATTCCTCTTGGGTATGCTAAATTAACTCTTTTTATTCCTCCTCGTAGTGAAAGACGGTTTAGTTTGACTAGGTTTAGTGTAGACGTGGTTGTGAGTTCTTGATACACCGTAGACTTGTCATGGTGTATGCTTGAATCCTCACCTTCATTTTAGTCCCTTGCTTCCTATGAGTCAATCGAACGTCTAGGCACCATTGGAAGAATGTCTTGAGTTGATTTGGCATTCCCATTGGAATGACCTCTTTGGATTAGCCAACACTTATTTTCATTTCATTTTAATCAAAATCACAACTCACCAAAACACAAAACTCAAAGATTTTTACACTTTTCCATTTTTCAAAAAATCACCTTCAACATAATTCACCTTCCTTCCCTGAGGAGATGACCTTGGAATACCAATTCCAAGTAAAACATGACCCTTGAAAGTCTATCTACGCTTGGAGAACACTTTTGTACACACACACACACATATTTCATCCCACACACACGTTTACCCCATTTCTTGCATCATTCTGAGGGAGAGTGACACTCACCTATCCGTATAAGCCATACACATATTACGAGATGATGTTCAGAGATTAGGAACAACGGAATAAACAAGCACATGCCTAAACACATGAATGGTTCTTACCTTGAAAACGTTCCAATCTTATTGTAGTTCATCTTTTTTCATGGATTCAAGTTTCTGAGAAAAACATCTTTGATATTTTGTAACTCAGTGGTAACATCACCAATATCCATTCTATATCTTGCCAAATCTACAGAACAAGCAACTCCAACCCGAAAGACTGAAATCAAGCACTCTTCAATGTTGTGACTTGTTATGATGCTTTGATTTTTAGTACCCCTTACGTTTTTCACCACTTCTCTTTCCTGGAAAAGTACTGATTCTGCAATTTCAGCCACTCGATCAAGCAAAGCCGCCTTAACCAAATTATGAAGGTTGAAACCATCTATAAATATGTCATCAGTAGGTCTCTTTCCAGTGAACTTTTCCAGCAAGAGTATGCCAAAGTTGTACACATCACCATATGTTGACAAAACACTTCCATTTCATACTCTGCAATGCAGATCTTACAATCAAACTACAATCAGAAAGCATTCATTTCCCTTATATGAAAAATGATGCATGTACCTAAATTTCATATGCAAATGGAGGAGAAGAAAATGAGAAAGCATTTACCTGGAGTGGTGTAACCAATGGATCCTTTTACAACAGTAGAACTAGTGTGATTTTTAGAAATTTTTTGAGTAGGTAATGGAGGGAATCTTGCTAATCCAAAATTACCTACATGAGCTACCAATTCACTGTCCAAAAGAACATTGCTTGGCTTTAGATCACAGTAAACTACAGGTGTCTGGCAATTGCAGTAAAGATACTCTAGTGTGCAAGCAACATCCATGGCAATGTTTAATCTTTTAAGTAGGGTTAGTTTCTTGGACACCAGATGAACCTAATTTCGGTTTGATTTGGATGCAACCACTCATCCAAGTTGTCATTAACCATGAATTCGTATACCAAAGCCTTGAAATCCTAACCATGATGATCGGCACCTACACAAGCAGTAAGTACCTTGACAAGATTCCAATGTCAGATGTTCCTCAAGACCTCACATTTTTTTCTGAAACTCTTGGATGCTTCACCATGCAAAAGGTTAAGAACCTTCATAGCAATAGTTGAACCATTGAGAATTCCTNTTAAGACCTCACATTGTTTTCTAAAACTCTTGGATGCTCCACCATGCAAAAGGTTAAGAACCTTCATAGCAATAGTTGAACCATTGAGAATTCCTTTATAAGCAGTCCCAAAACTACCCACGCCAACCAAATTAGCTACAGAGAACCCATTGGTAGCTTGAAGGAGATCCTGATAAAACACTTTTGAAAGCCAATGTGTTGATGGATACAAGGAAAACATCTTTTTGGAATTTTTAGACCAATAAACAAACAGAAAACCCAACAATAATATTAGCCCCAATATCCCAGCAACAATACAAATTGTCAATTTAAATGTTAACATGGAGTTAATCTACTTAGATTGTTTAAAGTTGCATCTAGGAAGCTATAATTCAAATGTACCCCCACAAAGCTTAGGATTCCTAATAACTGAGATTGCATTGACATTCCTAAAGATGCCTTTTGCTGGTAATGTGCCATTGAAACCATTGTAAGAAAGATTTAACTACTGCAAATCAAAGTCCCCCAGATACTTTGGAATTTGTCCAGATAGATTGTTGCAAGGAAAATCTAGAAATTAAATACCCCTCAAAGAAATTAAAGACAAAGGAATGGTCCCTTGAAATAAGTTTCGTTTCATGTATAGCTTTTCCNCCTTTGCCTAAGCTTGGACTTTGGAGGCCCAAGCATTAATGAGGAAGAGAGAGAAGAAAAAAGTCAGGGAAGTTGCTGGCTAGGCTTGTCCTAGCTTGCTCAAGCTATCACTTCAGCCACCTATGGATGGGAAGCTTGTCACACATGCTAGAAGACCCCCATGGACGAAAATGCAAGTATCACTTCACATTATTCAGCATTGTAGAGCATTATAGAGAGAGAAGCTTAAGGAGGAAGACATAGTTTTAGAGGGAGAAGTTAGATTTTTGCATTTCCTTTACCCATTTCATTTGTAATCTTCTGTAAGACCCTTGTAAGCTTTATTTATTGCCTTTAACATCATTTATTTCAAGTGTTTTGTAAGTTAAATCAAGTATCTTTCATTCTACCATTGTTGTATTGAGTTTTTCACTTCAAGCTTTTAAAATAGGTATTAAATGCACTACTTCATAGTTAACTTTTCTTGCATTAATTTAAGTTTCAATCTTCATTTCTTCACAATGTCTCTTTACTTCATGTATGTTCTTGCATTAAATATGAGTAGCTAATCTTTAAGTTAGCTAATCCAAAGGAGAATTCCTCTTGGGTATGCTAAATTAACTCTTTTTATTCCTCCTCGTAGTGAAAGANTCTGATACCAGATTGATGTAGATTAGGAAGGGAAAAAATTAGGGATGAGAAGAGAAGAAGAAGAGGATAAGAAAAGAGAAAGAACTTAGAAAGAAAGCAATATCAATATTCAATAATAATCAAAATCTCCTCAAACCAACTACCATNAACTCTTTTTATTCCTCCTCGTAGTGAAAGACGGTTTAGTTTGACTAGGTTTAGTGTAGACGTGGTTGTGAGTTCTTGATACACCGTAGACTTGTCATGGTGTATGCTTGAATCCTCACCTTCATTTTAGTCCCTTGCTTCCTATGAGTCAATCGAACGTCTAGGCACCATTGGAAGAATGTCTTGAGTTGATTTGACATTCCCATTGGAATGACCTCTTTGGATTAGCCAACACTTATTTTCATTTCATTTTAATCAAAATCACAACTCACCAAAACACAAAACTCAAAGATTTTTACACTTTTCCATTTTTCAAAAAATCACCTTCAACATAATTCACCTTCCTTNGGCTCAAAAGTACCATGATAAGAAAATAATTCTTCCATATTGAAAATAGGACTAATACTCATATTCAAAGGTAAATCAATGTGATATACATTAGGTCCAAACTTATGAAGAATACGAAAAGGGCCAGTGGCTCAAGCATGTAAATTTTTGAAGGAAGTTTTAGGANTATCTACGCTTGGAGAACACTTTTGTACACACACACACACATATTTCATCCCACACACACGTTTACCCCATTTCTTGCATCATTCTGAGGGAGAGTGACACTCACCTATCCATATAAGCCATACACATATTACGAGATGATGTTCAGAGATTAGGAACAACGGAATAAACAAGCACATGCCTAAAACATGAATGGTTCTTACCTTGAAAACGTTCCAATCTTATTGTAGTTCATCTTTTTTNGCCATACACATATTACGAGATGATGTTCAGAGATTAGGAACAACGGAATAAACAAGCACATGCCTAAACACATGAATGGTTCTTACCTTGAAAACGTTCCAATCTTATTGTAGTTCATCTTTTTTCATGGATTCAAGTTTCTGAGAAAAACATCTTTGATATTTTGTAACTCAGTGGTAACATCACCAATATCCATTCTATATCTTGCCAAATCTACAGAACAAGCAACTCCAACCCGAAAGACTGAAATCAAGCACTCTTCAATGTTGTGACTTGTTATGATGCTTTGATTTTTAGTACCCCTTACGTTTTTCACCACTTCTCTTTCCTGGAAAAGTACTGATTCTGCAATTTCAGCCACTCGATCAAGCAAAGCCGCCTTAACCAAATTATGAAGGTTGAAACCATCTATAAATATGTCATCAGTAGGTCTCTTTCCAGTGAACTTTTCCAGCAAGAGTATGCCAAAGTTGTACACATCACCATATGTTGACAAAACACTTCCATTTCATACTCTGCAATNTGGCATCATTTAGTTTTTCATTGAAGTAAGCAATAAGATGACCCTTTTGACTCAAAATTCCACATATCCCTACACCAAGTGCATCACAAGCAAACCTAAACATCTTAGAAAAGTCTAGGTGTCCTAGGATAGGTGCTTCTGTCATCTTGTGTTTAATTTCTTGAAAGGATCTAGTCACAACAAAAGTCCATTGAAACTCCCCTTTTTTCATGCATTCTGTAATGGGAGCCATAATGGAACTAAACCCCTTAATAAATCGTCTATAAAAGGTGGCCAAGCCATGAAAGCTTCAAACCTTAGTAATTGTTCTTGGCTCTGGCCACTTCCGAATAGCACTAATTTTCTTTGGGTCAGCTACAATGCCATACGTAGAAATAACAAATCCAAGGAAAAACACTTGAGTTTGCATAAAGAAACACTTCTTAAGGTTCGCATAGAATATTTCCACACGTAATGTCTGCAAAACCTANTTTGATACCAAATTGATGTAGATTAGGAAGGAAAAAAATTAGGGATGAGAAGAGAAGAAGAAGAGGATAAGAAAAGAGAAAGAACTTAGGAAGAAAGCAATATCAATATTCAATAATAATCAAAATCTCCTCAAACCAACTACCATATCCCCTATATACACATATGGGGAGTACAAACCCTAAAGTAAATAAATAGTCAGAATGACAACAAAGCCCCCAAAAAATAAAATGACAAATAACTCCTATTCCCTANTATGGAAGATGATCCAAGTGCACTTCTATAGACTGATTGTAGATCAGGATGTCATCAAAATAGATCACCACAAAATTTCCTAGAAAAGGACACAATATCTGATTCATAACTCTCATAAATGTGCTAGGTGCATTAGACAACCCAAAAGGCATGACCAACCACTCATAAACTCCATCCTGNTGTGGAAGATGATCCAAGTGCACTTCTATAGACTGATTGTAGATCAGGATGTCATCAAAATAGATCACCACAAAATTTCCTAGGAAAGGACACAGTATCTGATTCATAACTCTCATAAATGTGCTAGGTGCATTAGACAACCCAAAAGGCATGACCAACCACTCATAAACTCCATCCTGGGTTTTAAAGGCAGTTTTTCATTCATCTCCTGGTCTAATTCGGATTTGATGATAACGACTGCNAAGAAACTATCCTAATAATGTCACGCCTCAACATGGGCCAATAAAATCTGTCCTCAACAAGTGCAAATGTCTTATCCCAACCATAGTGTCTTACCAAACCTCCCGCATATAATTCCCAAATCAAGAAATCCTAAAGTGAAGTATGGCGAATACATAGTCGCGACCCNGCGTAGATCAATTTTGGAGAACCAAGGTGCACCGGCCAAAAGGTCAAATATATCCTCAAGTCTTGGTATAGGAAATCGATACTTGACTGTAATTTTGTTAATGGTATGGCTATCAACACACATTCTCTAAGAGCCATCTTTCCTAGGTGTCAACAAGGCGAGGACAACATATGGACTAAGACTATGATGAACAGACCCTTTTTTTCANGTGTAGATCAATTTTGGAGAACCAAGGTGCACCGGCCAAAAGGTCAAATATATCCTCAAGTCTCGGTATAGGAAATCGATACTTGACTGTAATTTTGTTAATGGTATGGTTATCAACACACATTCTCTAAGAGCCATCTTTCCTAGGTGTCAACAAGGCGAGGACAACATATGGACTAAGACTATGATGAACAGACCCTTTTTTTCAAAAGTTCATCTACTTGCTTTTGTAGTTCAGCACACTTAGTAGGATTCATGCGATAACAGGGAAGGTTAGGTAACTGAGACCATAGAACTAAGTTCATGGCATGTTGAACATCTTTCATAGGTGGTAACTCATCAAGTAGCTCCTCAGGGATCACATCGTGGAACTCTCTCAATAAATTATNCGGGGAAGGTTAGGCAACTGAGACCATAGAACTAAGTTCATGGCATGTTGAACATCTTTCATAGGTGGTAACTCATCAAGTAGTTCCTCAGGGATCACATCGTGGAACTCTCTCAATAAATTATCAACCTCAGGTAGAAGATTATCCTTGGATTCCAAATGACTCTGGAAAACTTCTTTGACAACTAGAACTGCCAGACTTNCAGGGAAGGTTAGGTAACTGAGACCATAGAACTAAGTTCATGGCATGTTGAACATCTTTCATAGGTGGTAACTCATCAAGTAGCTCCTCAGGGATCACATCGTGGAACTCTCTCAATAAATTATCAACCTCAGGTAGAAGATTATCCTTGGATTCCAAATGACTCTGGAAAACTTCTTTGACAACTAGAACTGCCAGACTTTCTTCTCTCTTTTTCAAACTTCCTATGGGTCAAGATGTGAAGATCTTTCTTGTGAGTTACCTGGAATTATGACATATGCTTTGGATTATTACCTTCTAAGGGTTTCACAGGTTTTAACTTGATGGTTTTCACATTATGCTTAAAAACTAGGNTTCCTATGGGTCAAGATATGAAGATCTTTCTTGTGAGTTACCTGGAATTATGACATATGCTTTGGATT